AGCCGAGACAAGGGACGCAGATGAGACCAGACTTTGCTGGTGTGAAAGGTGGCCACCACGAGCCCAAGAGCTTGCACACACCATCCACGTAAGATGCAGGTGTTTATCCCCAGTGAAGGAAAGCACATTGTCAGCAGGGGAAGCCCAGGATGGATGAACTGAGCCCACACCCTGCAGGGGTGCCAGGACTGCAGCTCTCTATGGTACAGCATGGCCTGAAGTCTCAACTTTGCTGTTGAAGCTGCAGTCTCTCAACACCCTGATGTGTGTCCCTCCTCTTCTCTCACGCCTACAGCTCTGGGTCTGCCACATCTAGTGCCTTAAAGTCAGCAGCCTGCACTGAGGAACTGGCAAGCTTTGTTCCCTCCACTACTTGCTAGCAGAAGTTTTGGGTTTTTTATTATTTTTTTCATATAAGCATGCTTTGGGAAGTACCCACAAGCAGGAATTTAAAGCAGAGCTGGATGTCCTCCCAAGGGAGGAGTTACAAACACCAGGAAAGCAAACTAAATGCAACGCTGGTGGCTCCACCACCCCAGCCCCTTCCACCCTGACCTGCTGGGTAATAATTAACTATGGGAGCGGCAGCACATCCCCTCTCCCCTCCCAGTCCTTCCCTGCACGGTGCAGGAACCTCTCTGGAAAGTTTGACAGGACGTTTGCTCCCCACCCACAGCGACTTGTATTTTTTCCCCTTAGCACCAGTTCAACCTGGCAGAGTGATTCACTTTCCCTGGCTGCACCAGCGTCCCTTCCCACACCTCTTGCGCTCACACGGCTTTCCCCACCGTTCCCCTACGAGCACCTCTGCTGCTCCCGAGCGTTGTTTCACTGTGATGTGGGGCAAGTGACCAGCTCGCAGCAGAAGCTGAAGCTGGCCCCAGGGTGGTCTTTAGCTACTAACGTGTTTTCACTGTATTAATCACAATTTTCCTTTCCTCCTGCCTCGGCCACCTTTGGTTTGCGTTTGCCTTTGTTCAGGCTCTTCTCTGCCTGCTTCCTCTCATGGCCACCGTCCATGCTGCGGTTTCTTCCCCAGCTTGGTCCCTGCTCCTCTCCATCTTTCCACCTGGACACCACGACCCTGGCTTCTTGGGGATGCCACCCA